GCTAAGTACAAATATGTGCATAAATAAAAGCACTTTAAAAAAGTTTCCTTCAGAAATAATGCCTTCTCAGCTTTTTATGTACTATGGAACCCAGAGAAACCTCAAAGATTGTACTTTGTTTATCTCTTACCTGTCTAAAGTTCATGCATTCTGATCTATGTCATGATCAAAAGAACACACTCTACAGATCTAACACTGCTTTCAAAATAATTACAGCCATGTTTAAACTTCTCTAAAACTCAAGGAACCAACTCTGGTATCACAGCATTTCACCCTGACGATGAGGTTTTTCTTTCTTTAACCCAGGGTAGTCTTTACCCTCAAGTCTGTGGTATCACAGAACCTGTAAAATCTTGAAATTATATACAATAATGTGTGTGTGTTTGCGTGTCGATGCATGTCACGGGAGAAGGGCATATTAGTGTTATTATATTTGTCAAAGTGTCATGAAAAAAAGTGTATGCACTCTGCCACCTCTTCTTTATCACTCAAAAGGCCCCACACCATACTACATGGACTGCCACTAAGCAAATGTCAGAATTTTTGTCAACTTCATGTGTTACATTTCTATAGAAGGTTTTCTGTTTAGATAACTAAGTTTAAAATATTTTTTAAAATGGCATTATATTATAACTGGGTTAATTTGGAAACTGAGATTTTAAGTATTCTGCTCCAAACGTTTTGTTTCCTAGTCCCTATTTTTGTAAAATCTCATACACAGTGATATTTCAGAAAAAAATGCATAAAACATTATAAAATACATTTTTCTTTTAAATTTTTCTATAACGGTATAAACACATAGAAGCACATACATTTACTATGCTTACGTTCTATAGATTCAGACAAATGTCAGTTGTGTACAGAGGAAGTGATGAGATATTAGTTTTCTTAACAGCTAATTCAAATACAATTATGTGTACAATTCACCTTAAAGTCAATTTTGATAGGTTTTATGAATGAAATTATATAGTGATCCTAAAGTAATTTGGATGCAACCAGCTGAAACTCTACAAATACTGCATAGGTAAAAGAAGTAAAAAACTGATTATCTAAAAGAAAAAATAGAATAGGACTTTTCTTGTAGGAAATTATGCTTCTGATCCTATCATAGACTTAAAAAAAAAACCCTTTTTTGTTTTAAAGCTGTATAGAATGAATGTTTAGTTGAGTTTCCTGGAAACATTTATTTCATTTTAAACTTGTTGAAACAAAGAAATTAACTCAGATCCTATGACTTGTGCCTTTGATAAGTTAGTGTTAGTGTTAAATTATAAACAGAAATAATATATTTAATGCAATTAATAGGAAACAGAATTTCAAAAATATCCAGTTTTTATTTACAAAATGAATACATGATCTATTAGCAAGAGGGTGATCTGTCTATATTCAGTACTATATAAAACACATTAGGGATTTGCATAATATTTTCTGAAAACATCATTTTTTTATTTATAAAAATCTTTACAATTATTTGTTTATATTAAATTATTATTTAAAATATTTTTTTTATCTCTACACCCCCTAAGAAAAGGGTGTTTACTTTGGGAGCATTTAAAACACCAGAGAAATCAGTGAATTACTTATAAATATTATAATGTGATAATGATTAGCAGAATTTAAACACTTACCAGGAACAAGATGTTAATCTAAGTCTACAAGCTCATTTTATAAGACCTCTCCTTGCAGGTATTATACTGGCCCACGTAACCAAAGGGGAAACTGAAGTAAATAAAGATAAAATGCTCAAATGCACAAACTCACAATTCATAAATTGTAGAGAAAGATGTGAAATTCAGTCTGATACTAGAACCTGTGTTTTTAATTCCTGCTTTTCTGGCTCTCTGTTTCTTCTTTATTAAGTTTTATCTTAATTAATCAACAGATTATGAAATTTAAGAAATACTCTTTTACAAGTTGACTTTTGTTTCTTTAAGCATTTACCAAATATAAGATATTTATGATTTTTTTCTCAGGAAACTAAACTTTTTTTTTTCCCAGTTGAAATTCATCCAACAGAAGTAATATATATCAGGTACCTCCGTGGATTTTTTAAAATGAAAATATGTATTTACTGAGGACTAGACTTGGAACTACTAGATCTCAGAGATTGCTTTGGGAATGTGAGAAAATCATTATTTGCTGGCTCTGCAGTAATTTTGAGTTTGTTAAATTCATCGGTGTGTGAACTAGTTATCAAAGCCTGATAAAGAGCTTATAAATCACTTTGAAGTTGGCAGAAATAAATATTAATGGGTCAATTTTCAAGGAATTTCAAGTTAGTTTCTTCTTCTACTCCCATAAGTAAAAAAGAGAATCTCAGTTGTTTTATTTAGAAAAGAACCTATAATTTATTAGTAATAATTGATGTTTCTCAGGATAGTTACAGGATTACTTAATGACATGAAATCAGATTATTTGCTTAGGAAAAGACTGCTCATTGAAAATCCTCCAAGGAGTTCCATATGATAAAAGTTTGTGCCGGGCTCGGTGGTTCAGCCTGTAATCCCGTGCCTTTGGGAGTGGATTGCCTGAGCCCGCGGGTTCGAGACCCGCCTGGGCAGCAAGACCTCATCTCTACAATAAATCAAAAAATCAGCCGGGCGTGGTAGTACATGCCTGTAATTCCGGCTACTTGGAAGACTGAGGCGGAAGGATCGCCGGAGCCCAGCAGGTCGAGGCTGCGGTGGTCGGGAGCCGCCACTGCCCTCCAGTCTGGGCGACCGAGTGAGACTCCAACTCAAAAAAAAAAAAAAGGTTTGTGTAAAACTTATTTGTAAAACACCAATCCTGTTCTAATACTTTGATATACTAAAGTGACCTTCTTCACCAAAGTCTGCTTCAGGGTCAGCCTTAGAAAAAAGGTGAGAAAAGGGCAAGGTCATCGGGTACCCAGTACCTACCAATGTCAGAGTCTGACCAACATTTTAACCACTTTTCTCTTCCTCTTCACAACAGACAAACAAGCTCAAAGGTTTTAGTAGCCTGCCCAGCCCACGTGACTCATGGGTATCAAACTCAGGATTTAAAAACATTCCTGTCCATTACAAACCTGTTTTATTTTTGTCTTTGAACCAGGAAAAGCAGATAATTTTCTGCATGATTGTTTTAAGGATACGAAAAGGTCATCTAGGTTTCCAAAATACATAATAAAAATTATCTTTAAAAATCTATTCACTTATGTATCTTAGAAAGCTCTGGACCTGGGACATTAAATGCCATGCCCCAAATTAATAATCAAACCTGGACTTGATCTCAGATTTCTTTTTTGGGGGGGGTTGGAGTCTCACTCTGTCGCCCAGACTGGAGTACAGTGGCCGATCCCGGCCACCGCAGCCTCGACCTGCTGGGGCTCTGGCGATCCTTCCGCCTCAGCCTTCTAAGTAGCTGGAACTACAGGTGTACGCTACCAAGCCCAGCTAATTTTTTGATTTATTGTAGAGATGAGGTCTCGCCAAATTGCCCGGGCGGGTCTCGAACCCATGGGCTCAGGCAATCCACTCACCTCAGCCTCCCAAAGGCGGGGGATTACAGGCTGAGCCACCAAGCCCGGCTGATCTCAGATTTCTTTGCCTATCTTCCCTTTTGAATATACTCAAGATCACAATATGTGTATTTTGTTTCCTGGATTTAAATGCTTTATTCTTCATAACTTATGAAGTAATTGAAACCTCAGCAATGATCTTGCACCTCCTTTTGAGTTGGTTTATTATGTACCCTCCAGAGGTTCCAGTCCATGTGTGATTTTCATAAAGTGGTAAGAGAGGAGAAAAACATAAGGACCACTACATCAAGTTGGGAACCTCATTCATTGTATAGGGGCATGCAGCTGAATGGAGCAGGGAGTAGAAGTTGAAACTCAGCTCACAAAGCATGCATAGGGTGCTATGTTGAATCCACCCAAAGACAACTAGTCTCGAATTTGCATAAATGCATCCTATAAGCTCACACAGGCCCTTAAAAAGACACTGAAAGTTAGGAAGAGAAGAGGAGAAGTTGGTTGGGCATAAAGCTTTCCAGCTTCAATTTCTATCACTAGTTAATTAAAGGAATTTACATGTAGAGCTAATGATGGGGATGTTGATTAATTCAGTAAATCAGTGCCAGCATAGGGAGATGTATTTGGTTGGCACTGGGAAGTATAATTTTATTCCAGAGAAAAATATTCAGTAGAACCATCAGCAGGATGTGCTATTTCACTATATGGGTTATGAGAACTACCACTATGAATATTTAGAAAAATGGTACTATAGGAAATGGGATAAATAAAACTCTCACATCTTTTTGATGATTTTGTTCTAAAGCCTTCTTAACCTACCAGGAAGGACTAACACATTATGGCAGTGTATATACCACATTTTGAAAAATCATCACATTATCACAGAGTCTCTCAAGTAACACTTTTGAGCACCAAGCTATCAAGCTCTTAACTTCACATGTATATAACTGGCATTTTCCATTTTAAAGCTGAATACCTTTGAAATTCTAACAATACCTAGCCATTTTTTTTTTTTAGTACAGGGTACAATACTAGGTAGTTGGCATACATAATACTTATCTTCCCAAAAAAGAATACCTCCAAAGTTATGTGTTACTATTTTCTTTTGATCAAAAGGGAAATTGAGGCACAAAGAAGCTAAACAGACTTGCCTAATTTCATGTAGCTAATTACTAGAAGACTATAGATTCAAATTTATATCATCTGTGATTTTAACCTGAGCTCTGGCCGCCTTATTGAATTAACCCTTTTAGAAGACTTCTACTGAGGGGAGAAAGTGATATATTAGCCGATCAAGGTTTAATGCAAGATATAAAAAATATTGTATCCTGAACCAAGTATTCCAACTCATGCATTCTTCTGCTATTTCCTGAAATACAAATTTGTTAAGCTGCCATAATTTTGAATACATAATAAAGTGCTAATCATCAGCAGAGTTTATATAGATCATGGCTAATCTCTGAGTTCTAAGAAGTCAGATGAAAAATGTGGAGTGACTACTTACCTGTTCTGATAATTTTTGTCCATTGAGGTGAGCCTGCATCACAGCATCATTAACAAGCAAGTGGAAGTTCAAGAGCACATGTTCAATGTCATATGTTCCATGCATTGCATCTGACAGCTCTTCCAATGAGCGGATGTATGCATGCCAGTGTGGATTAAGCTCCGCCATGTGTGCCAGGCAGCCCCTCACGACGTTGAGGCAGTAGCCCATACAAGGCTTACTGAGAGTCAGGCCCTGGCAGTGAGAGCAGTACTGCATCCTCAGGAGGCCTCTGCTGCACTCTTTGGAGAAGTGCACATAGTCAGTGGTGTTGATAACTTCAATGCCCAGATTGAGTGCCTGTAGAAATGTGCGGCTGGGCAGCAGCGACTTCCCCATCTGCCCCATTACTCTTTTGGGAATGTTACCAAAAGGACTAACGTCCCGACGGGCCACCCGGATGCATTCTGAGTATTCCAGGGAACTGTCAGTCACACCAGGGTTAATAAGATAGTTGTAGACCAGAGGAAAAAGACTGTCAAAAAATCTGTTTACAAATTCTTCAGGATTAACATCCGCACCAAATAAATAGAGCCCTACATCAGTGAAGAACTCCTGAATTGAAGCAGCAGCCTCTAAAGCCATGTTCCTATAGGTGTTGCAAAAAAGGATACTGGTGTAATTTTCTGCTTGTCTGATGAGAGTTTCAAGGGTTTCTGTAACACAAACAAAGGTAAAAAATGAAGAGTCTTAGTATTCATGTTAACACTGTCCATCTGCTTCAGAAAGTAAATGAGTTTAATGCGGTAAAAATAATCTAAAGTTTTAAATCTTAATACAGTCTACAATGGCAGTTACATACAATATACAAGTTTGTTTGTTTATTCATTCAAGTCAAGGTCTCACTCTGTCCTGTGCTGGAGTTCAGTGGCACCATCATGGTTCATTGCAGCCTCAACTACCTGGGTTCAGGAGATCCTTCCACATCAGCCTCCTGAGTAGCTGGGACTATAGGTGCACACCACCATCCCAGGCTAAGTTTCTAAATTTTTTTTGTACACACAGAGTCTCCCTGTGTTACCTAAGCTCTGGTCTCAAACTCCAGGGTTCAAGCAATCCTCTTGCCTTGGCCTCCAGGGATTACAAGCATGAGCCACTACACCCATTCTAAAGCATACAAGTTTTATAGACAAATTTCCTAGAATCAAAGTTTGTTAAAAAATATAGGAATCAAAAATAAGTTACATGTATGATAGGTTCTTAGTTTATCCTACAGTTATTTATAACTCACTAATGATAGAAAAAGGTGTCACCAAGAAATTTATTTCATATTCTGAGTTCATTATTTATAAAAGATGATAACATTAAATACTGATTCACCACCTTTTCATGTTTTTCATCATTTTTCTTTTTCAGAATTAAAGCTAGTAGATTACACACTAGTAGCTACAAAGAGATACTACATTCCCAAAGGAAAACCTGACAATCCTCAGACCTCCTAGCATGTTCATTCTAAAAATAAAGTTAAGCATTTCATTATCAAACTACCCATAAATTATCACACATTGTTAAGCAGTGGAAAATCATGAGTGCTATTATTTGATGAAAATAATTATGACCACTGTATTAATTATATTCTTTTTCTTATCATCTTACCTTCAAAGACTTTACTGTGGGATATTTTATTTCTTACTTAAGTAACTGATGGCCCCAAATCAATTTCTCCACAGAACAAAAAAGAAAAAAACCAAGAATAATTTATCTACAAATTAGAGGAGAAGATCTTAAAAGGTGCAGTTGAAGTAATCAGCAAGTCAAAATAGTATTTCAAAATGATAGCATTAAGCAGCAGTAAACACTTTGGTTATACCAGTAATTACATTTTATAATTAGGCTAAATAATGACACTGGACTGTCTCAATATATAATTAATTATAAAATATACTCAATAAATTTATCTCCCATAACCCCAATCTCATAGTTATTTTTAATTAGGTTATAAAAGACCACACAATAATTTAGTATTCAGACCTCTGTTTGAGTATGTTATAAAAAGAGATGGAAGAACAGTAGAAAAAAAATAAAATGGAATAACAAAAAACAGAGGTGCAGGAAGAGCTACTAATGAGGCAGAACTGTGTCATGAATATACCATAGTGTTCTCACACACACACACACACACACACACAAAAAGTACAGCAGGCTCGGTAGCTCAGCCTGTAATTCCAGAACTTTGGGACACCAAGGTGAGTGGATTGCCTGAGCCTGTGGGTTCGAGACCAGCCCAGGCAACGAGGTGAGACCTCATGTCTAGTCTCTACAATAAATTAAAAAAAAAATAAAACACAAAAACACTTTCATGAAGAGCACAAATGAATAAGAATACAATATTATGCATTCTGATACTGGTCTAAGACTGAGTCTCATTGGGTTCCAGGTTTTAGTGTGATCTTGTCAAGGTGCATCTACTCTGTAATCAAAGGCAGCATCTTTTAAAGGCTATTTCAACCCTGGTGCAATATATAATACTGTTCTACAGTTTCTCTAGATTGTTAACTAGGCAGAACTCCTGTGTTATCTATGCATCTTTAGTGCCCACTACAGTATAAGCAAAGTAGTTACCCAACAGGACAGTAAATGAAGGTTCAATTGAGATTCGCAGCTCTGCCAAATGTGACAGCATTGATGTCAGGTTTCTCCAACTGGTCTGATCACCTGGGCGTCATGGGGAGAAATATAGTTTGCCAGGCCTCTGTGCCAGGAATTGTAACTCAGTAGGTTTGTCTTGCTCCAGGAATCTATATCTAACAAGCAGCCCAGGTGATTCTTTTGACCTGGCCTAAAACATGGAAATGGCAAATATGTGTCAACTATTTTCTCTGCTCTCACAGAGTTTTCCTGCAAGCATTCTATCACAACAACCTGATCCCACAGCTGCAATCTCAGCCACTACACTCTACTTTCACAGATCTACAGGAGAGCGTTTTGAAAATAGAATTGAGACCTTTGTGGTTTGAACCAACATAAAACTACTAAGCTTATATGTTTCTCCTTAAAATGGGAGATGTATTATTCTCAGAAGTTTGTGTGTGGCTATCCATTTTGAGGTAAGTCACAAATAATTTTAATTATCAATAGTCATTAAATCATCTGATTTCTGCCAACTCTAAATGATGCCAGGACATGCAGTTTTTTAAAATTCAAAAATAAAGTGCTTCTTTATAAATTTCAACACAATTTAAAACATAATGATTTAGGAACATGCAGAGTTTATGTTTTAATAGTCATAACTATATGTTTTGCCAATCCATTTATTTTTGTGAAGGCAATACTGAAGAGAATATATTTATTACTTAGGAGTATCCCCTAAAAATAAAATCAAGTATGCTACTTCCCAATGTTATTTATTATCTATCTTTTAAGGCCACTCTGTACTACTTGCAAATTATTTTAATAACTCTCTGAGATTTAATTTAAAAATTTCTGAACAAAGTCTAAACTTTTGTTTTATTTTAGACTAATTTTCCTCTGATTTAATTTTATTCTTTAAAACAAAATAACAAAAACAACTGATAAAAACATTAAGACTCACATTACAGTAACATTGTCAAACTTTTCCTTAATACCACATGTATTAAAATTTTAGCTCTCAAACTGTGTATCGATTTTACTGCCTATTTAGGGAGCGATTATATGTTCTCAAATTCAGTCGTGTGCCTTATAATTACATTTTGGTGAACAACAGACTGCAGGGTCCCATAACATAATGGAGCTGAAAAATTTCTATCACCTAGTGATGTCATAGCCATAGTAACAGCATAGTGGAACATACTACGTGTTTGTGGTGATGCTAGTATAAACAAACCTACTACACTGCCAGTCATTTGAAAGCAAAGCACACACAATTACGTTCAGATCCTAATACTTGATAATGATAATAAATGACTATGCTACTGGCTTAAGTATCTACTAAACTATACTCTTTGTTATTTTAGGGTGTATTCCTTCTACTTTTTTAAGCACAAAAGTTAACTATAAAGTACTATATGTTCTCACTCATAAGTGGAGCTTGAACAATTATAATACTATTAGAAAGAGATTATTGGCAGTAGTGGGAAACTGTCAGGGGATGGGGGGTGGGATTGGCAGTTAAGGGAAACTGCTAGGGGAGGAAGAGGCACACCTCATCCACAAGGGTGCCTGCATAATCAACGTTTGTATACCTAACCCTGAATTGTACCCCACATCTTTATAATAATAAAAAAAATTTAATTAAAAATAAACAATCTAAGGGAAGACTTCCAGAAGGCACTGCTACCATAAGAAATAACAACTCCATGTGTGTCATTGCCGTTGAAGACCTTCCAGTGGGACAAGTTGTGGAGGTGGAAGATGGTGATATGGATGATCCCAACCCTGTGCAGGCCTAGGCTAAAGTGTGTGCTTGTGAATTCATTCTTAATAAAAAGTTCAAAAAGTAAAAAACAAAAAATAAAAAATTTAAAAATAAAAAAATGTATAGAGTGAGTGTATAAAGAAAATATTTTTTGTACAGTTGAATGAGTTTGTGTTATGCTGTTATTACAAAAGAGTCAAAAATTTAACATAACTAAAAAGTTTATAAAGTAAAAACATTATAACAAAGTTTCATTTATTATTAAAGAAAAAATGTTTTTTTATAAATATAGTGTAGCCTAAGAGTACAGTATTTCTACAGCCTACAGTAGTGGACAGTAATGTTCGAGGACTTCACATTCACTCACCACTCACACACTGGCTCACCCAGAGCAACTTCCAGTCCTGCAAGCTGCAATCGTAGTGAGAGCCCTATGCGGGTATACTGTTTTTTCTTTCGTATTCTATTTTTACTTTACCCTTTCCATGTTTAGATATGTCTAGATACACAAATACCACTGTGTTACAATTGCCTACAGTATTCAGTACAGTAACATGCTGTACAGGTTTGTAACCTAGGAGCAAGACTATATAGCCCAGGTGTGTCGTAGGCTAGACCATCTAATTTATATAAGTACACCCTATGATGTTTGCATAATGATAAAATCGTTTAATGACATGTTTCTCAGAACATATTCTCGTAGGTAAGTGACACATGAATGACTGTATCAATCAACATTTTGGTTATTTCCTGGGCATGTAAACGCAGAAAAAAATATTTAAAATGTATTTATTTTGTTGGTTTTTTTGCTTTGCTTTTAGCTTATTACAATGTAAAAATTATTTTTTGCTTTCAATATGTGTTAAATCTGATATTAAAACATTCCAGCTGATAAACTTATGTAAGTACATATTTGTGAGCATAAACATTTCTTAAATCCAATAAATAAAAAACTGTAGATTACTGTTCTAGGCACATTTGATTCTTCAATACTTAGGGATAAATATTATTTTGTGAGTAATTTGTCCTAATGATTTCATAAAACTTTAACATGCAAACACATATGAGAAATAAACAATCTAGAAGCCAAACCATTGAATTATTTTATTACTAAATTTATGGAAAATTAGAAGTTGAATTTACTAAAAATAGTTGTTTGTATTAACTCTGAATTTGTAAAATTGTCACCATGTTTTTATAACATATTTACCAAGGAATTGAATGTTTCCATTTTGTGGAATTAACATTATAATATTAACAAGAATTTATACTTTCAAAATAATTGTCAAAGATTTGCTATTCTTCAAAGGCATAATAGACGTATAAAATCATTTTTCATAGGTCGAAGGTAGG